TTTCCTGGAACTCACTTGGTAGCCCAGGCTGGCCTCGAACTCACAGAGATCCGCCTGGCTCCCAAGTGCTGGGATTAAAGGTATGCGCCACTGTTTTGTTTCTTTTACAATTATTATGGAGAGGTGGATACACGGTGGGTTTCAGGTCTCTCCTTTAATGGTGGGTCTCAGGGATTGAACTTAGGTTGTCAGGCTTGGCAGCGAGCACCTTTATACACTGAGCCATTTCACTGGCCCTGGAGGTATTTCAAAATGTCTTAACATTTAAATCAACCTGGAAGCTATCCAATATGTTTTAAAATTTTTTAAAAATATTATAATCGTGCTTAACCACCAGATCCAAGTCAGTCTAGCCAAGCTATTCAGCAGAAGAAGTGCTAGAGTGTGCTACACTGGATTGCCTCTCTGAGTGTTGATTATGTGGGTTGAACAACATTTACTATGTTTAAGCAGGTAGAGATCTCATAGAAGTAAGGAGCGATGCTGTTCGAGATAAGGGAGTGTTAATAAAATACAGAGTGGAAAAAATACACAGAGTGGAAGAGAAAACAAGATTTAAAAAGACACCTACCCAGTAAGGCGGTGGTGGCACACACGTGGGGAGTCAGAGAGGGGCAGATCTCTGAGTTCAAGGCAAGCCTGGTCTGTAGAACAAGTTCCAGGAGAGCCAGGACTAGACACAGAGAAACCTGTCTCGAAAAAACAAAAACGACAAAAAAAAGACACCTACCCAATGGCTAGAGAGATGGTTCAGTAGTTAAGAGCACTGGCTGCTCTTTTAGAAACCTGGATCAATTCCCAGCTCCCATGTGGCAACTTTCAGCCCTCTATAACTCCAGTCCCAGGGGATCTAATGTCTCTTCTGGCCTCCATTGGCATCAGGCACAGATACATATTTAGGCAAAAACAGTTACATGCATAAAATAATAAAGAAATTGAAGATGTCTACCTAGTGAGGACTTTTCAGAAAATGGGAAATGGTATAACTAAGATGGGGATGTAGCTCATCTGTAGAGCACTGGCCTAGTTTGCATTAAGCTCTGGGTTCAATCCCCAGCACCACATAAACTGGGCTTGGTACTGCAAGCCTGTAATCCCAACACTTGGAGGTAGAGGCAAGAGGATCAGAAGTTCAAGATTATCCTTGGCTACATAGGGAGTTTTAGAGCAGCCTGTGAACAGCCAGACAAATAGAATAGGATGATAGGTTTGGAGGTTTTGTTTTAAGATTTGTTTTATTTTAATTATGAGTATGTGTATCTTTGGGTATGTGCACATGCTTCAGATACCCTGGAAATTGAATTACAAGCAGTTATGAGCCACCTGTGTAGATAGGAACAGAATTGGGTCCTCAGCAATAGCAATACTGGCTGAGCCATCTCTGTAGCCCTTAGAATGGTCGATTTAAGACTACATTTATCCTCGGGAGGCAGAGGCGGATCTCTGTGCATTCGAGGCCAGCCTGGTCTCCAAAGCGAGTTCCAGGAAAGGCGCAAAGCTACA